CTCCAATGGCCGCCGCTGCAGCCGGCGCACCGCGCTGATCCTGGCAGGAGCCAGGAGCCAGGTGCTTTTCCTGGTCTCCCATGGGGTGCAGGGCCCAAGCACCTGGGCCATCCTCCACTGCACTCCCTGGCCATAGCAGAGAGCTGGCCTGGAAGAGGGGCAACCGGGACAGAATCCGGCGCCCCAACCGGGACTAGAACCCGGTGTGCCGGCGCCGCAAGGTGGAGGATTAGCCTATTGAGCCACGGCGCCGGCTGACAAAGTTAATTTCTAAAAGTCAACTATATCTCTGTTTGCAATAACAAACAATTAGAAAATTATATTTGTAAAACTGTTCCACTTATAATAGAGTAAAAATAGAGCAAAGAGCAATTAATTTAGTAAGAATTACATGAGACCTTTATGCAGAAACTACAAAATATCTGGAAGAGAAATTAAAGAAACCCTAATTGGAGAAATATATTCATGGATTAGAATACTCAATATGGCTAAAATGAAATTCTCCCCCTAAGACTTTATAGATCCTATAATTCAATACAATCTCAGCCAAAATCCCAATGTGCTCTGATGAAAACTGACATATTGATCCTAAAATCTAGAAGACCAAATATATGTAATTTTTTTAATTTGACAAGAAAGAAAAAAGTGGCGCAAGAGTCACTTGATTGTTTCCTTATGAAAACATTACACAAGGATCAACAAATAGATCAAGGCAAAAGAATAGAAAATCCTAAAATAGACATATACACATACATATACACTCAGAGTTCACTGATTTTTTTAATAAAGGCACCCAGACTACAAAGGGGAAAGGAAATTCTTTACAATAAATGGGTTTGGAACAAATGGATACCCAGAAAAAGTGACCTTCAACTTCTTCAACCTCATATGATTCACAAAATTGAATCCAAAGTAATCACATATGTAAAAGTTAAAACTGCAATGATTCTAAGGGAAAATGTCCTTTTTGATCTTTTGCTTTTTTTAAGATTTATTTCTTTATTTGAAAGGCAGAGATAGAAAGGGAGAGAAATAGCAAGAGAGAGAGAGGGAGAGACAGTGATCCTGCATCTGCTGATTCATTCCCCAAATGGCCACAACAGCTGGGGCTGGGCCAGGCCAAAGCAGGAACCAGGAGCTTTCTCTGAATCTCCCATGCTGGGTCATCCTCTGCTGCTTTCCCAAGTGCATCAGCAGGGAGCTGGATCAGAAGTGGAGCAGCCAGGACTTGAACTGGAGTCCAAATGGGATACTGGCACTGCAGGTAGAGGCTTACCCCTCTACACCACAGTGCCAGCCCTATCCTTTTAATCTTTATTTTTTTATTTTTTATTTTTTTATTTTTTTAACAGGCAGAGTGGACAGTGAGAGAGAGGGAGACAGAGAGAAAGGTCTTCCTTTTTGCCGTTGGTTCACCCTCCAATGGCCGCCGCCAGCGCGCTGCAGCCGGCGCACCGCGTTGATCCCAAGGCAGGAGCCAGGTGCTTATCCTGGTCTCCCATGGGGTGCAGGGCCCAAGCACCTGGGCCATCCTCCACTGCACTCCCTGGCCACAGCAGAGAGCTGGCCTGGAAGAGGGGCAACCGGGACAGAATCCGGCACCCCAACCGGGACTAGAACCCAGTGTGCCGGTGCTGCTAGGTGGAGGATTAGCCTATTGAGCCGCGGCACCGGCCCCCTTTTAATCTTGAAGTAAGTAAATACTTCTTACAGAGGAAAAAATATATATAATAACCACAAAATTAATTATAAGAAAAATAATAAATTGGCCTTACTTAAAGTTTAAAACTTCTGCTCATCAAAAGACAATACCAAGAAATTCATAGCAAGCAACAGAGAGAAAGTGTTTGCAAAACACATATATGACTTATTGTTTAGTATATATCAATAACTTCTACAAATCATGAACAAAAGAACAGCCCAAGTTTAAGAAATGAGCAAATACACTTTGAAATAATACATAATGAAAGAAGTTACACAAGTGACCGAGAAGAATAAGAAAAGGAGTTCAACACTGCCAGTTATTAGGTGAAGCAAACCTAAATCATGAGAAACAACAGCTTATATGCTCTACAATGGCTACAATGGAAAGACTGGCCACACCAAATGTTTGTAAGGATATGAAGCAACTGTATCTCTCATACATTAAAATTAAGAATATAAAAAAAAGTTTTGGCAGTTTCTTGTAAAATTAAACCTAACATCTGCCCTATGACCAGCACTGCACTCCCAGAAATTTACCAAGAATAATGAAGATGTGTCAACAAGAAAACTTGTGTAAGAATGCTATAGAAGCATGACTCATAACAGCTAATAACCAGAAATAGCTCAAATGTCCATCAACAGCAGATTAAAGAAATAAAAATTGCAATATTATATTCATATATTAGTATACCACATGGCAATAAGAAGGGATGGACTACTAACGCATGCAGTAGATATGGATGGATAAAATTTATTTATTTATAATGGAAAAAGGAGTGAGTACCTGGTATAGGATTCTATTGTGTTAATTTTTTAAACAAGCAGAAAGTATACAGCAATATAAACTATAACCATGGATATGTAGGGAGGGTCTGAAGGACGCAGAGGCAAATTTTTTGGCATGATGAAAATATCTTAACCCAGGTGGTAGTTACACAGATGTAAATTTCACTGAACATGAATTTTAGGCCACTAGTGAATATATGAATAACACTGTAGAAAAAGTACTCAAAATTCATTGTTAAATAAAAGAGGAAAGATGAGAATTGTGCTAGGTGAAAGATAGACTTCAGGGTCTAACCAGATACAACATGTGGTTGCACGCGCATGGCAACACTAGTCTGGGCAAAATACCTATAAAAGACATTTTAAGGACATGCAGGAAATCTGACCACAATATTGGTTTCAGAAGCCATAAAAACATATTAATAGAAGTTTTTTTGTACTTTGTTTCATATCTTTGTCAAACCAGTGGTTAAGAATGTTATACTCCTGGGGCTGATGCTATGGCGTAGTAGGTAAACCACTGCCTGCAGTGCTGGCATCCCATATGGGTGCTGGTTCGAGTCCTGGCTGCTCCACTTCTGATCCAGCTCTCTGCCATGGCCTGGGAAACCAGTAGAAGATGGTCCAAGTCCTTAGGCCCTGCACCTACATGGGAGACCTGGAAGAAGCTCCTGGATCCTGGCTCCTAATCAGCCCAGCTCTGGCTGCTGTGGCAATTTGGGGAGTAAACCAGCAGAGAGGAAATATCTCTCTCTCTCCCTCTCTCTGCCTCTCTGTGACTGCCTTTCAATAAATAATTAAATCTTAAAAAAAAAAGAATGTTATAATACTATAGTTTCAATGATCTGTGATAACTTTAAATTTTACTATGCATGGGTGAAATGGTCATCTTTCTATTTGTTTATTGTTTATAGCCCTTGCCTGTATTCCCACTAAACTAGGCGCTTTTTACTTTTCATTTGCTGAACTCTTTATTTGGTGGAGCATTAAGTCCTTGACTTTAATTTAATTAGAAATACGTTATCTCAAAAACTGAAAAAAAAAACAGAGAGAAGGGGGAAAGGGGAAAGAATGGAGGGGGTAAGGGAATATAATTATATTCTTTGACTTATATCTATGAACCATACTGAATACATTAAAAACTAATAAAATATTATAGAATGTGAAAAAAAACCAAACTATTCTAAAATATATTAATAGAAAATTGTAGATTGTGGGTAGATAAGAAAAATCAGGTGACAAGCAACATATACTTTCTTGTATTTTTTATATCATAGCACAGATTTCATTTAAATGTATATAACAGATAAGTACAGAAAGAAGTCCAGTAAGGGATTACATTATCTATTAACACAGGTGACTCAGGGGAGGGGGGGGGCAATGCTTACACTTTCTTCTCACCTGCCATATGCACATATATGGCTTCTACAACAATATTATACTGTTTGAAGTAGTAGACTCTGAAATTCACTGTTTGATAAGACAAGGTAAAAGATGGCAGGGATGAATAGGACAAGGAGAAAGAAACCTACCACTACTTAAGCTCTAAGTAAATCTATCAGGCATTTTCCATGCACTTCCCATTTCATCCTCACAAGAAACCTATGATCATTTCTATTTTTATACAGCTAAAAAGGGTACAAGCAATCACTTGAACATAATATAAAACAATCTCAAAAACCCATGCTCTTTCCACCTCACTTGTATGCCCTTTCAGATTTCAGAGACTTCACTAAGTATTTATTTTTAAATATTTATTTATTTATTTGAAAGGCAGAGTTACAGAGAAGGGGAGAGAGAGAGAGAGAGAGAGAAGGGGAGAGAGAGAGATGAGGAGAAGGGAGGGGAGGGTGGGGAGGAGAAAAGAGAAGAGGAGAGGATATTTTCCATCCACTGGTTCACTGCCCAATTGCTGCAATAGCCAGAGCTGAGCCAATCCAAAGCCAGGAGCCAGGACTTCCAAGTCTCTCACGTGGGTACAAGGGCGCAAGAACTTAGGCCATCTTCTGCTGCTTTCCTAGGCCATTAGCAGAGAGATGAAAGGGAAGTGGAGCAGCTGGGACTTGAACTGGTGCCCATACAGGATGCTGACACTGCAGGCCAGGACTGTAACCTGCTATGCCATAGCACCAGCCCCGTCACTAAGTATTTATGAAGTGTGTACTACGTACGCAGTGCTCTGTTAAATGTTTTATACAAATCACTTCATTCACACTCAGAACTTTCCATGTCAGGATGATGTATTCCCATTTCATAGATAAGAAAACTGAGGCACAGAAACAGAACAAGTCTCCCTGGTTCCCATAGATAATAGCTGACAGAACAAAGAATCAGGCTCAGGCCACCTGACTCTCCATGGTAGAGTCCAGTACGCTCTTCCATGTTTCCAAGTCCCCATGCTTTCAACGCGTTCCCAGTGGAGTACGAGAGAATGAGTGTCAGGTACCAACAAAAGGAACACTGACAACAGAAGTCAACCACACATTTTTCACAAGAACATCCTTGCTTACCTGTCCAGGGCAGTGCTTGTTGGCATACTCCTCCCAAACCCTCGGACCCCAATCTGGCGGAAATATGGAATGCAAGAGAGGTTGGCGGCGATGACAGCCAGAGAGTCAGAAGGACTCACAAAGAAGCCATTCTGGCCTAGGATCATGTAACGGTCCTGTAGGAGGCAATGTGTAAAACTTTTCAGTCAGAACCTTCTGCTGCTAGCACCCCATCTCCACAACCATACAAGCCATTTCACTGCCATCTTACAAGTAAACAGACAACAGTAACTTGATTGAGGCCAAAAGAACACAGGAAACCTTCTTCCAAATTTCTCCATGTCAAGGGCCCAGAACCTCAACACAACTAGGAATGTGTTCAGCTGCTGAAATGTGGATGCCCACCTCATGCTTCAGTAGCCTCTGTACACTTGGCTGTTTTCTCCCAAACATATGGAGAACAGAAGTTACTGCTGGTTCCTTAGCATGATGCTTTCAACAAAACCAGCTGTAAATAAAGATTTATTGCTTCACTTTTTTTTTTTTAAGGAAACCACCTCTTTTATAACACAACGCTAATCTGGAACTAAGAAAGTAATGGCTATTTAACTGCAATATCTAGCCATTAAGCAAAAGAGCAGATGCAGAGCTAGTCAGGGTCCACATGTCCCATACATGCTAGCTCCAGATGTGTTCATTAATGTTCTGGCTTCTGATGCTTGGCTAAATACATGGTAAAAGGTCAGCAGGTAGAAAACTTTCCTACATACCCCGTCAGCATCAAATGCAGCTCCAAATCCATATTCTCCTCCTTTCATGGCTTCCAAAAGTGTTGTTGCATAGGTCAGGTTTGGGTCAGGATGCTGCCCTCCAAAGTCTTCCAGGGGAACACAGTTTATTGCAGAATTGGCTGGGGCCCCTAGCTCGTCACACAAAACTTTTCTCACGTACGGTCCCATAACTAAAACAAGATACACAGCCATGTGAAATATTTGCAGAACCTTCCCCCTAGAACATGTTGTTCTGGTTAGAACAAAAACAACTATTTTACAGCTTGGAAGGGAAAAAAAATTCTTCATTTTTTTAAGATATAACATAATACTCACTTCAGTTACTATTTATTGAGCAGCTTCTATGTACCAGTTATTGTTAGTCATAAGCCAATTATAAGAAATCTTGCTCACAAACCTTTTCTAAATGTTGCCAGAAAAGAAATCAACCATGTATTAATGACTCATTATTCCTTTTCATGTATTAAAATCTTTATCTAAACACATGCAAAAGCACTAAGGTCTCTTGAGATGGTCTTTGCCTCTGCAACTATTTGAACTCCCCCAAGTATGTAATTAAGCACTGTAAGCAACTGAAGTACATAAAACTCAGTGTATTTTACAAATGAATGCTGAGGAGCGGTGTCTTCTAGTGCAATGAACATTTATCAAGAGCCTAGTACGGGAATCTTACATCAGGAACAGAAGGGATCATACTGAAGGAACATAAAGACACACTTCCAACACTACTAGACTCTAAATCTAGCTATAGGATGAGTCAAATCCACAGATGAATGACTGTAGTTATAAGACAAAAAGAGAGGTACCATTCACTGCACAATATGAAATAAATATTATAAACTAACTAGATGCAAGTTTTTTCTTTCCCCAGTCATCCTGCAAAGGCATCCTGTAACAAGCTGACAGACAGCAGGTGCCATTTTGGATGTAAGTAATAGCTGTGCCAGCTCATATGTGTGCCCAGCAACCAGCCAAGCGGAGACTCCTGAGTCTGGTGGTGAGAACAGACTAGGGGATGGGTTCTCGTGACTGTGGGAAGCTTGTGTGCTGGGACTGTGAAAATACTAAGGCTGTGTGGGAGGATTCAGGGTGTGACTGGGATAGTGGGCAGTCACTGTGGGAGGCTCCACACAATCAGGACTCCCTGGTTACCTGGCTGGGGGCACACTGCTGGAGAATCTGAGTTTATACTGAGGGCTACACAGATCCTTTGTATGGTCCTTCTGGCAGAGCAGATGAATAACAAACTCACTGGGGCTAGCACTCAGGCACTAGTCTTCTTCGAGGAGAGGAGCTCAGCTGAGTCTATGCAAACAGACAAGAAGAAACTTTCCCTCTGATTAAAAAAAAAAAAAGACTTACCACACCAAACCTGGATGTATCATCTCAGACACACCCTTCACACTGGAGCACTGAACAGAGCTCCCTGGCCACTCCTACCAAACGCCTCTAGGTATTCCCTGAAAGCAGACACTCCACTAATCCAATCAGACATAGTCCAAAGATAAAAGCAGCCAGAGTGAAAATCAAAGAAGAAACCAAGGAGTATCTCCACAAATACTGAATAACAAACACACTAATCCAAGAAATATGAATAAGGAAGATGGGGCCAGTGCTGTGACGTGGTGGGTAAAGCTGCCATCTGCAGTGCCAGCATCCCATATGGGTGCTGGTTCGAGTCCGAGCTGCTCCACTTCCAATCCAGCTCTCTGCTGTGGCCTGGGAAAGCAGCAGAAGATGACCCAAGTCCTTGGACCCCTGTACCCACATGGGAGACCAGGAAGAAGCTCCTGGCTCCTGGCTTCAGACAGGCACAGCTCTAGCCATTGTGGCCATTTGTGGAGTGAACCAGCAGATGGAAGACGGCTCTCTCTCTGTCTCTCCTTCTAGCTCTGTGTAACTCTGACTTTTAAACAATAAATAAATAAATCTTTAAAAAAAATAAGGAAGATAAGATGACACTCCCAAAAGAACACAACACCTCAATACTAGATTGTGAAGATGATGAGACTGAAGAAACACCAGAAATGGAATTCAAAAAATTGATCATAGGATTACTTACAAGTCATCAGAAGCAAATGCACAAACTAATGAAATCTACATGACATGAAAGAAAATTTCTCCCATGAAATTGATATCTTAAACACAAAACAAAATGAAATCATGGAAATGAATAATTCAATAGAACAAATAAAAAATACAGAATACAGTGGAGAGCCGTAACAACAGAAATGGTGAAGCAGAAAAAAGAATATCTGACATAGAAGACAAAGCACAGGAAATTACAGTCAGACCAAAGACAAGAAGAAGAAATTAGAAAACTAAAAAACAATGTTAGGAATCTACAGGATACTATCAAATGACCCAACATATGGGTTCTAGGAGTTCCTGAAGGCATGGAAAGAGAAAAAAGATTAGAAGGCCTTTTTAGTGAAATAATAACAGAAAATATCCCCAATTTGGAGAAAGAAAGGGGCATCCAAGTACAGGAAGCACAAAGAACTCATAATAGACATGACCAGAAAAGATCTTCACCACAACACACTGTAATCAAACTCTCAACAGTAAAACATAAAGAAAAGATTCTAAAATGTGCATGAGAGATATGCCAGATTACTCTCAGAGGATCTCCAATTAGACTCACAGCAAACTTCTCATCAGATACCTGACAGGCTAGGAGGGAATGGTGAGATATACTCCAAGTATTAAGAGAAAAAAACTGTCAACCCAGAATATTATACCCTGCAAAGCTCTCATTTATGAATGAAGGTGAAAAAGACCTTCCATGACAAACAGAAATGGAAAGAATTTGCTATCACCTGTCCAACCCTGCAGAAGATGCTTAAGGATTCGCTGCACACAAAAACATAGAAACATAGTCATCACTATGGAATAAGGTAAAGGAAGGAAAGCTTCCAGTAAAGTACAAAGGAAATCCAAAGTAAAAAATAGAAATATGTATTGAAAAAATGGCAGGGCAAAGTTTTTTTTGTTACTTATCAATAGTCACCTTGAACGTAAATGGTCTTAACTCTCCGGTTAAAAAACACAGATTAAAAAAAATCTGTTTGCTGCCTACAAGAAACACATCTCACCAACAAAGATGCATGCAGTCTGAAAGTGAAAGGATAGAAAAAAAAAAAGTGCTCACACTGCAGAACCAACAAGGAGTTGTATGCATATTCACAGTATTTAGTGACAGGGAAATAAATATCAAAATAAACAGCTAAAATACTTAAAATACATTCTCTGGGAAGTTGGGAACTGAGGAAAAGAAAACGTTAGGGATAGAGCTGAACTATTTAGCTATTTAAACTAAGACATGTACTGGGATCAAAAAGTAAAACAATGAACTACAGTTTTTACTCTATCCGTACCACATTCTAATAAGCGTAGTCTTAAACTTATCTGTTCAACTTTTCTTTTCTCTGATATGTAAATTTTTATGTAAATTTTACATACTCTCAAAACCCAACATGCATTAATGCCTTGTTAATATGTCTTGCCCACCAGTTTGCAGAAAACCATGAGCTCACCTCCATGCATTGCATCAACACGGATCTTCAGTTGGCTGGGCCCAGTCAGTAGACTCTTGATGGCATTAAAGTCAAAGATGGTTCGAAGGAGGTTGAGATAGATGTCCACAGGATCCACGATCTCCACTAAGGACATGGAGCAAAGGGAGACAGCCATGACTGCACCCACAAAACTCTGATCTCAAAACCCCATCACAGTCTTACACTACACATAGGGAGTGTCCATTTGTGGAAACAATCACAAATCAAGGCACAATCAACTTTTCAGATGACTATAAAATGTGTAAATATAAGATCACATTACTTTTAATTATAAATAATGTAATATCATGTCTAAATAATATCAAGTTATAAATTCTTTGCAAGTTACAAGTCAACCAAAAGAGTAAATTTAAATAAAAACATGTCTTGTTACCCCTGTTCCCACCTTCTTTCTATCACCTCCCTCCCAAAAAATGTACATATCTCAATGTTTGCCATATCCAGTTGCCTTTCTTCTGGGGGCCAACCAAAGACTCAGCTGGTATAAGACCAATCAAACAGTGACCCCTATGCCCAAATGCCAGATCCTACTGCAGACTTGGTGATGAAGGATGTATTCCTGAGTTTGCATGAAATCTCCTTCATGCTCATTCAGTACCCAAATTCCCAGTGAAGGTCAAACATCAACAAATCCTTATTCAATATGAATGAATGTATCTGGCACAATTCAATGAACAGGAATACAAACCACATCTTTTTGATTTACATGACATACAAAAAACCAAGAATGTAATGTATTTTTCATGCTGGGCAATCAGGACATAATTAATGTTCAGAAAGAACTTTTCCTAAAAATAGTAAATATTTGACTCTTTAGGCACTATAATTTCTCCAAAATCCCTACTTTTACATATAACTTACATTTTGAAACATATATATTATTTTCAAGTTTTTCAAGTGCTACCTCGGGTTCCTTAAATTTTTTAACTTGCACCAAAGGTATCCCCAACTCACTTTCAAAATTTTGAACAAATCTAGATGCAATATTTAATGTATAAGATTTAAATATGTGACATGAAACTATCCCTTCATCAGATCAAGCACACATCCAGAAATAGTTTCCTTCCATTTAAATCAATGTAGTGTGTGTGTGACCGTTCAAATATAATAAAATTACTTTTGAAATAGCATGTACAGTTTTAAATCATCTTTTCCTATAAGGAGATGCTACTTCACAAAATAATTCAAAATTACTTCATATGAATTATAAACTGAAAAAATGTTAAGGCAATAAATGTATGCTATACACATTTTGTTAGGTGTATTTTCCATATTAATCAAAAATTAATCTTTAAAATAAGAGGTTATGTGATACACACTTTGTAAGTTTTAGTCACTCAAAGATGTAAGATGATATTTTTGTTAATTGCATTCTGGTTCTTCAGTTGTTGAACCACTTGCCTAACTGCATTTGTATATACAACAGAAAACACATAGCAGAAATATGGAAAACAGGAAAGCAAGGAAGAGTTATGAAAACTGATTGCCCCCATCAAATAGTTCATGCTCTTGACATTTATTTAAGGTGAAATACCAAGAAATTATTTGTTTCCATTTAACTTAAGCCTTGTTCAACACATAAAACAGCAAGAATATAGCACATAGAGTAACCCAAACAATTATCTCCCAAATTCTTCTCAGGAGCCACCCAGAAAATGGTAGGGTTTTTAGAAAATTCATCCAATTAACATTGTGGCTACAGCAATGACCCTGAATCTGAGCTCAGCAAAGGTTTGACTCTCCTGGACAACCAGAAAAATTGCAAAGATACCAAAAATACATACATAAAGGTAACTACCTCCCAATAGTGACACCTGACTTTTCTCATATAGCCCAGTCCTTCCAAGCGTATTTAAATCTTACTGGTTAAGGGGAGATGTTTGGCACAGCAGTTAAATGTTTCTTGAGGGGACGGCGCTATGGCATAGTGGGTAAAGCTGCCACCTGCAGTGTTGGTATCCCATATGAGCACTGGTTAGACTCCCGGCTGCTCCACTTCTGATCCAGCTTCCTGCAAAAGGCTTGGGAAACCAGCAGAAGATGGCCCAAGTGCTTGGGTCCGTGCACCCGCATGGGATACCCAGAAAAGGCTCCTGGCTTCAGATCGACCCAGCTCCAGCCATTGCAGCCAATTGTGGAGTGAACCAGCAGATGGAAGACCTCTCTTTCTCTCTGCTTCTACCTCTCTGTAACTCTGCCTTTCAAAAAAAATAAGTAAATCTTAAAAAAAAAGAAAAAAGAAAAAAGATCTGTGTGTGTGCGCATGCGTGTGTGTGTATAACTCTGTCTTTCAAATAAATAAGTTAATATTTTAAAAAAAATGTTGCTTGGGATGGCCACACCCCATATTGGAGCCTGGATTCAAGTCTGAGCTCTGCTTGCAGCTTCCTACTAATGTGTACCCTGTGAAGAAGCAGGTGATGGCTCAGGTACTTGAGTCTCTTTCACCTGGATTGGGTTCCTGGTTCTTGGCTTCAGTCTGACCCAATCCCAGATGCTAAAGGTAAGTGGAGAGTGAACCAATGGATGGCAGAACTCTCTACCCTACTCCCGCCCTCCCTCCCTCCCTCCCTGTCTGTCTCTCTCTCTCTCTCTCTCTCTTGTCTTTTTCTCTGCCTCTCAAAATAAATAAAAAGAGATAATATTTTAAAAACATCTATTTGTTAAACATAACACATCCTTTGCCTTCAGTCATCTAGAAATTCCATGTGTACACATATATGAGTGTATGCAGGCTCCCAACCAGATTAACAAAAAAGCAGGCATTGCTAGCATCATTGAGTATCATAAGGCTTTCAACACACTGGCTCAGCAAACAATCAACTCAAAACTTTTCAAGAAACATTTGGTAGCACTGATCCAAACTCTGACCCCTGCACAGTCCATTTAGGGTTTTGGCTCCAAATAATTCATGAAACCAGGTATTTCATCTTTTTTGCTAAATTATATTACATGTAATATAAGTATATCATCTTAATAGAAACTTTATTGAAGTACTTAGAGGGCCACAAAGAATAAAACATGTTGGTTAGTTCTACTGTTACTTGTATGTCTTCAAGAAAATAGTAGAATAAGTAGAGGGAGAAAAATATTGTGCACATAAGTGATATTAACACGTTGCTGTATGCTTCAAAATCAATCTACAAAACAAAAATTTGTACTCTGAGTAGTTGACAAGTTGTATTCACCCCAGAATATAATATTTTTAGCAAATTTCATTTCTATTCTTTAATTCTTGAACCACGTATCTACAAATATTTGGCACTTACTGAATCCCATTCTTAAATTTCCTAACCTAGTATACAACAAGCGAGCAATAAATGTACATTACACTAAGCTGAGCTTCATGGTCTGCCTGGGAAAAGAAAGCCCTACCCTCCATGAGAAATTAGTAAGTCCATTGGCAGGTTAGGTTTCTTCTTAACTATCTAAGACATTCCAACATCTTCATCTTAATTGCTCATAAAATCAAAGACAAGTTAAGGCAATTCACAGCCCACTCCTGGAAAGCTCCACAGGATTCAACCTGAGTCTTATCCTATGTCAGAAATGAAAGAGTTTGGAAATCAGTTTTTGAAAGATTCTAGCTCTCAATACATTGGCTTCTCTCCTTTCTCTCCAAACCATGCTGTTTCAATAATCTAGATAGATAGATAGATAGACAGACAGATAGCAATATACACACATGTATATTTATATATACATATATATATACTCAGTCCTGTAATTCATAATTCAGTAATTTTCTTGAGTGTACTCCCCTGAAAAAATCACAGTCACCCCCATCCACAGAGTTATTCTGATTTCTTCAAAATTCAATCTCTCTATTACCTCTAAATGGTTTGAATTTGTTCTCGAGGTCAAATTCTTGTCTTCCTAGGCGGGATAGGTCAATTCGAAGATCAGGACATATGGCATACTCCTCAATTGTCTTGCTGATCTGATAGATTTTGTCTGAGACAACATCTGGTGCAGGACCTAAAATTTGAACAACAAAAGATAATTTCTTTAAAGTCTTAGAATTATAACTGGAGAAATGTTACCATCCTTCTTCAGGCAATGAACAATAAGCAATGATTCACAGTTCAATTAGCCTTGATATTTCTCATGCTACATTCATTTACCATAAAGGAAATTTGGTCAGCCTCACCTGCTCTGTGTAGACTAATAAACCCCCACTTTTTTTTTTCTTTACCTTGTAAGCAATGATACATCGTCTCTAAAAATAGTTTCACACCTGCCAGGGAGACCCAGTTATGTAATCAGTTTTATTCAGGATATGAGACACAAACAGGATATGCATCTGACAGAAGTGAGGGATTCCAGACTTAAACTGCAGCTTCCCCAGTGCACCTGCAGGAAGAAAATATGATTTCTTCTTCCACCGCTGCTCCCTATCTGATATGTGAGCTTAATAGGGTAAATTAATTACGGTCTCCAACTCATGCTCTCTAGTCACTCCCAAGTTTTCTAAATAAGATTTAACTTAAATTATCTTCTGAATTTCCTCAGGAGAAAAAGTTGACAATTAAGTTGAGACAGACTTTTAAAAAACTGAACATGGAGCCAATTGTTGTCCTCCTTTCTGTTTTGTTTCTTTTTCTTAAGATTTATTTGTTTTTATTTGAAAGGCAGAATTAGAGAGAGAGTGAGAGACAGATCTTCCATACACTGGTTCACTCCCCAAATGTATTCTAGCTCTGAATGCATTGGCTTCTCTTTTCTCTCCAAACCATGCTGTTTCAATAAGATAGGTAGGTAGGTAGGTAGGTAGGTAGATAGATCGATCGATCGATCTGCAACAGCCAGGGCTGGGCCAGGCCAAAGCCAGGAGCCAGGAGCCGGGAGCTCCATCCAGGTCTTCCATGTGGGAGGCAGGGGGCCTAAGGACTTGTAATATTTTCTGCTGCTTTCTACGACTCACTAGCAGGGAGCTGGATCAGAAGCAGAGCAGCCAACTCAAACCCAAACCCGTGCCCTCATGGAACGCTGGTGTCCCAGGTGGCGGCTTAACCTGCTGTACCATAACACCCGCCCTAAGGTTTTGTTTTCTTTTCTTTTTAAAAGGGTACGGCTGCCCCTTGGAATCCTCAGGGGATGGCAGATACCAAAAGTCAAGGATGCTCAAGCACTTATGTACCTGACAGATAGATAACCATATATAAAGCTTATTTAACTACTGTATTGTAACTTTCTACTGAACAGAAACTGTCTACTGATTTTCTTAAATATCCCCATCCTTAGTCTCACACTGTCTGACTCAATAGCCACTAGCCACATTTGGCCACTGAGCACCCAAAATACATCTAGTCAAATGAAGACATGCTATAATTATAAAATGCACATTCAATTTGGAGGACTTAGTAGCAAAATGTAGTACAGCTTGTAACTTTCATGCCAACGTGTTAAGTTGACAACATTTTGGATACAGTAGTTTAAATAAAATATGTCATTAACTTCATTTTTTCTACTCTGTTATGTGGCTACTAAAAAAGTTTAAATTATGACTCATAATATACTACCATCAGACACCACTGCCTTAGAGAATAGACCACTTACTGTCCCCCATTAAGTGGCTATAACAATGAATAGTGGGCAAGGCTACTGCCTGCCATGTGGGTACCAGTTTGAGTCCTGGATGCTCTACTTCTGATTCAGCTCCCTGCTAACAGCTTAGGAAAGCAGAGAAGGATAGCCCAAGTACTTAGGCCCCTGTACCCACGTGAGAAACCTGGCTCTTGGCTTTGGATTGGCCTAGCTCCAGCCATTGCAGCCATTTGGAGAGCAAACCAGAGGATGGAAGACCTCTGTGTGTGTGTATGTGTCTGTGTGTCTGTGTGTGCACGAACGTGTGTATGTCTGTAACTCTGCCCTTTAAATAAATAAATATTTAAAAAAATATAAGAATGAATAGTGGGTATTGGCATTGTGGCATGGCAGGTTAAGCTCAGGTTTACAATGCCAGCATCTCATGTTGGAGTGCCAGTTTAAGTCTAGGAGCTGCTCTGCTTCTGATCCAGCTCCCTGCTAATGCGCCCAGGAAAGCAATCAGTGATGCCCCATGTATTTGGGCTGCTGCTGTCCACATGGGAGACTAGGATGGAGTTCCAGGCTCCTGGCTTCAGCCTGGCCCAGTTCCAGTCACTGGGACCATTTGGGGAATAAGCCAGTACATGAAAGATCTTTCTATCTCTGACTCTCCCTCTCTGTCACTCTGCCTTTCAAATAAATAAGTATTTTTAAATATTTTTTCAAAAAAGGTACAGTAATAACCCCATTCCAGTCAGATAGAAAACAGTCTAGTAGATTTTACCATTTTCTTTTCGTAATGTACAGAAAAAAGAAGACTTCAAAGAAATCCACATAGCCCTTCTCTTTCAATTTTTATCCTTTTTTACCCTTCACATAAATAAGTGCTCTTCTTTAGTTTTTCCATTTTCTGTGCTGGCCAAATCTGAGAATGCATAAGCACCCTCCTACAATCCCCGATGCTCTACGCACCACACTGTGTTCTGTGGCTGTGTCTATCATTCTTTACGAAGTCTTTATCTGAGTTTTAATACCAGCACACCACAGAAACGTCTATGGAGCCTCTCAACCACCCTTGTGGTGCATCTCAGAGTTCATAAGCAACATCTGCACTCCTGCCAACTCCTTAGCTCCCTGAAATCCTCCACTGCATGGACTTCTCATTTTACTTTAATCACTGCCTGCCACAGTCAGACTTGAACCATTGCTGTCTCTATGAAATCAATCTCTGAAAGTACCAAATTTGAGCCTTCTCCTCTCACAAACTCAACTTCCAGCTACCTGAATCAGAATCTGTGTCTCACTCTTGTATTGATGGCCTGTCACCACTTAATTAATCCCAGACTGCTGGCCTTTCTAGTCCCACTGGTCTCATATTCCAGACAGGACACTACCTATGACATCATGGGAGGCATGCCCTTGTTAGCATAAGATCACAAGACAAACACTTACTGAAATTTACATATGCCACATTTGACACTTTATATACAATCTATCACTCACAAAAGCAGATTAAGTAGTAATTAATACCCTCATTTCCCAAATAAGGAAACTGGTATTGGAAGACTTGATGTACCTTAACCAGGATCACATCACAGAGGTGGGATTTGAATCCTAACAATCTGACGTCAGCTCAGACACTGTTAACAGCTAGGAGCCCTTCTGATGTTCTGCCATGTCCACAGTCATTCTCCATTTCAGTGCACCGCCGTCATCTGTTCCCCTTGCTACACATTCATGAGGCAGACAGGGGCACTCACCAAATTACCAAAACTGAATCCCCTAAGAAGGAGGTGTGTAACTTCACCTGTCCTCTGGACTCCCCAGGAATCTTCAACAATTCTCCTACAGTACCTATGACAAAACACCTCCTTTGGCCGGCGCCAGCATCCCATATGAGTACCAGTTTGAGTCCCAGACTCTCCACTTCTGATCTAACTCTCTGCTGTGGCTTTGGAAAGCAGTAGAAGATGGCCCAAGTTCTTGGGCCCCTGCACCCAGGTAGGAGACCCGGAAGAAGCTCCTGGCTCCTGGCTTCAGATCAGCTCAAGCCATTGGAGCCATGTGGGGATTGAACCAGTGGATGGTTCTCTACCTCTCTGTCTCTACCTCTCTTTTACAAGTAAATAAAATAAGTCTTTAAAAAAAAATACCTCCTTTTATTCCAAATTCCTTCTCTATTCATGCCCCGTTATCTTTGCAAGGAATCTCTCCTCACACTTTTCTGAAGAGACATACACAACAGTTCTCTAGAACTTCTATTATGAGCCTTCAAACTTGACTCTGCACCCACTTTTGCCTTCTTTCTTTGAAGTTCTGCTCCATTCTTGGAATCAAACTTCTCAATGAGCTTCCCATTTTAAGCTTTCTTAACCACCTTATTCCTCAGTCACTTAACTAAACTGTTACAAGGCTTAACTAGGATAAAATATGAACAGTGCTGAGTCTGGATCCCAGCACACTATAAGTAATAGAAACAGTATTTTTAGGCCGGTGCCGTGGCTTACTAGGCTAATCCTCTGCCTTGCGGCACCAGTACACCGGGTTCTAGTCCCGGTCGGGGTGCCGGATTCTGTCCAGGTTGCCCCTCTTCCAGGCCAGCTCTCTGCTGTGGCCAGGGAGTGCAGTGGAGGATGGCCCAAGTCCTTGGGCCCTTGCACCCACACAGGAGACCAGGATAAGCACCTGGCTCCTGGCTTTGGATCAGCGCAGTGCGCCGGTCGCAGCGCGCCGGCCATGGCGGCCATTGGAGGGTGGAAGGAAGACCTTTCTCTGTCTCTCTCTCTCACTGTCCACTCTGCCTGTCAAAAAAAAATTAAAATAAAATAAAAAAAGAAACAGTATTTTTATTATTGTTTCCATTTCTTATCATCTCTTCCCCTCTACTCAGTAACATGATCAGAATGGTCCTGTCTTCCAAATATGTACATAAAGCAACATAGTTCCAAATGTTTTCGACCTCCTACTCATTCTTCAGGTTTTTTTCATATATTTCTTTTCAAAAATTTTAAACTTCATTTTTAATTAGTTTTTTGTTTGTTTTTTTGACAGGCAGAGTGGACAGTGAGAGAGAGAGACAGAGAGAAAGGTCTTCCCTTGCCGTTGGTTCACCCTCCAATGGCCGCCGCGGCCGGTGCGCTACGGCCGGCGCACCGCGCTGATCCGAAGCCAGGAGCAAGGTGCTTATCCTGGTCTCCTGTGTGGGTGCAAGGGCCCAAGGACTTGGGCCATCCTCCACTGCTTTCCCGGGCCACAGCAGAGAGCTGAACTGCAGGAGGAGCAACCGGGACTAGAACCGGCACCCATGGGATGCCGGTGCCATAGGCAGAGGATTAACCAAGTGAGCCATAGCGCAGGCCCTAGCATTTCTTTTAAATAGCCAGGCGCCCTAGAACTGGATGCATATATATTTATTATAGTCACATCTTCCTGTTGAATTGGTCCCTTAA